TCAATGTGGAAAATGCCTTTAGAAATAGCACTGTGCTAGCAGTCTGCTGTGGGAGCCCAGCCACACCCCAGATAGTCTGCTCCCTGCCGCTGCCAACTCCTCCATGTGGAAATCATGGAGCAATGAACAAAGTGACTTGACACTGAGGTCCATCATTCATTTAGAAATATCTGCCAATATCACTGCCACCTCTCCAAGAGCATGGGAGGTCTTTCCGTCTCTTACCGTCTTTAATTCTATTGTTCCAGTGTTGGGCAGTTTTCATTGCAGAGGTCTTTCGCCTCCTTAAGCAGGTTTATTCTCAAGTTGTTTTTTTTAAAGGTCATTATGAATGGGAAAGATTTCTTGATTTCCTTCTCAGCAGACTCACTATGAGAGTACAGGAAAGCTACTGGTTTATGAATGTTGATCATGTATCCTGCTAATGTGCTGAATCCATTCATCTGCTCTAAAGCCTTCTGATGGAGTTTTTTGGGTTTTCTAGAAATAGGATCATGCTGTCAGCTAGCAGATAACCTGAATTCTTTTCCTATTTGTATCCCTATAATGTCCTTCTCTTGCCTGATTGCTGTGGATAGTGTTGAGGACTAGGTTGAATAGGAGTGTTGTCAGAGAACATTCTTGTTCCTGATTTTACAGGAAATGCTTTCAGTTTTTCTCCCTGAACTCTGATGTTGACTTTGGGGTTGTCACTTCTAGCCTTTACAGTCTTGAGTTAAGTTCCTCCTATCCTTAGTTTCCCCAGTGTTTTAACATGAGTGGGTGCTGGGTTTTCAAATCTATTGAGGTGATCATAGGATTCTTATCCTTAACTCTACTTAAGTGGTTGGTTATGTGTATTGACTTACATATGTTGGACTGACCTGGTTTCCCTGGGATGAAACGTTTCTTATCATCCTCTTAATATGCTTTCGGATGAGGTTTTCTAATATTTTATTAAGAATGTTTACATCTGTGTGCATCAGGGATATTGGTCTGTAATATTCTTTCCAATATGTGTTTGTATGGTTTTCGTATCAGGGTGATACTGGCTTTGTTGAATGTATTGGGATTGTTCATTCCCTTTCAATTTTATGGAGTAATCTGAACAAGACTGGTGTTCATTCTTCTTTAATTGTATGGTCCAGGTCTGGTCCTGGACTTTCCTTTGTTGGAAGGCTTTTAATTGTTGCTTCAATTTCTTTGCTTGATATTGGTCTATTTACATTTTCAGTATCTTCATGGTTCAATTTTGTTAGCTCATATGTATCTAGAAATTTGTCAATATCTCTAGATTTTCTAGTTTATTGGAATATATAAATTTTCTACATGGTCTCTAACAAACACTCCTGTGTTTCAGAATGTCTGCGGTACAATCTCCTTTTTCATATCTAATTGTGTTTAATATCATCAAAACAACAATAAGAAAAAACTGCCCTAAAATTCATTTGGGAGAATAAGAAACCCAGAATAGCCAAAGAAATACTGAGCAAGAATTTTGCTGGAGGCATCACAATCCTGAACCTCAAATTACTTTGCAGAGGTATAGTCACAAAAATAATATGGTACTGGATGGTACTGGCACCAAAACAGACTTGAAAACCAATGGAATAGAAGACACAGAGACAAAAACACATACACTCATAGTTGACAGAAGTGCTAAAAATAAATGTTGAAGGCAGCTTTTTAAACAAATGGTGCTGGGAAAACTGAATATCCACATGTCAAATAATGAAACTAGATCCCTATCTACCTCCTTGCACATAAGTCATATCAAAATGGATCAAAGACTCAGGAGCCAAACCAGAATCTTTGTGATTTCTAGAACAAAACACAGGGCCAAGATTCTATCATATTGGTGTAGGCACCTACTGTTCCAGGGTGATTTGGTTCCTTTGGTAATACTTTATATATATTTTATTTAATGCATGTTTTCTAAGTTTTCATTAAATGGTTAATGATGGAACTTGAAATAACTCTTCCTATTTTCCTGTCACTTGCCCATCATTATTTTTGTTTATGTGTGGCTATGGACCAATTTGTTTTCTCTGTCTGCTTTGACTTTATCTCCTCCCGACATTTCCCTTCTCCCCTGATGAGTATATAAAGTCACCACAAGCCCCATGACCTGTGGCAGGCCACCTGTCAAACCAGCAGAGCCAAGTGAGCAGCAGACCGGAGCCTCCCATGGGTGGCTGCAGCCGTCAGTGTCTTCGTGCCATTTTTTTTTTTTTGCCCAAATATAACATTTCTAAGAGAATTATTGTATTACTTATAGACTATTCTCATTTTAAGCCTCCTACTTGAGCAAGAACGTGTTTCTGTAGTGGGATTGGCTGCTTTCCTATTTCTGTTCTGGGGGGGGGTATGGTTTGGACCATACCCAGGCCCAGGTGTGATCCTTATAGGGGGGTTGGACTGGCAGACTATAGGATGTGCAGGTCCTTTCTTGAAGGGGAACAGTGAAGGGAAAAGGGAGTGGAGTATCAGGCTGCCCCCTAGAGACATGGGCTGCTGTGAACACAGATGCTAGGAGGTGATCCCTGGCTGCAGTGGGCCTAGGGGTGACTTCTGCAGAGACCGGGAGGTGGTGGGGGAAACACGGTAGGCAGGAGAGCAGGTGCAAAGGCCAGTGCATCTTTGCAGATGTGTGGCTGGACCAGCCAGGCTAAGGAGGGTGGGGAGGAGGAGGARGAGCGGCAGGACCAGCCACGTCTCCTTCCAGGGCTGGTGAGCTCTAGTTTTATTCTGAGTGGTGGTGCAGGGAGTTAGCTGTTTGTAACAGAACATGTTAAGCTTCAAGTTAAGTTTTTAGGTCACTTTAGCTGATCTGAGCAGAGCAGATTCTAGAGGATGGAGGAGAGCAGGAAGACCAGACACCCTTGTCTGCATATGCACATGTTCATGTACATGCACATATGCCGTGTATGTGTGGATACCACGTGTGATTATGCATGCAAGGGAAGGCATTCAGCCTCAGTGGGAAGGAAATCCGCCATCTGGGAGACAGGATGAGCCTGGAGGACACTCCCGAGTGAAGTAAGGTGGGCACATAAAGGCGTGCCCCGCATGACCCTCACATGGAGTCAAAGCAGTAGAGATTCTAGGAGCAGAGAAGACAGTGGTGGTCAGAGCCCCTGGACTGGGAGTGAGGACCCAGCAGAGGGCCTGGGCTGGTGGATATGAGATGAGAAGGCCCAGGGAGCCTTTCACACTGTGCCGTGGCCATAGTTCAGGATGCCACACCATGTACTCATTTGTCAGGGAACTGATCTCACACACTGTTGCCATCAGCCCTTGCCCCACGTGCACATGCACACATTCCACCTTATGAGGTGATACACCCTCCCACATGTGCACACATGCACACAAGGCTTTGAATGGGGATACCACATGTGTGCACGTTCACACATACACACACCTGGCCTTACAAGAGGATGTACCTATTCATCAGCAGGTTGGCAGCTCCATGAGACCCTGCCTAGAGCAGACCTCTCCGGGGGCCACTGAGGGAGCTGGGCAGTGTCTGCTCAGCAGCAGGTCCTAGGCCTTGGCCCTGATGGCCTGTCACCCCTCACTCCCACCACTACACCTTTGAGGAGGCTGCAGGAGAGCTGGAGTGTGGGCTTTGAGTGCCCTCTGAGATCATTTAAGGTTTCCAATCAAATGAACCTCTCTTGGGAAAGCGCTCACTGTTGCATCGCAGTGTGCAGCAACGTGTGCACAACTGTGTGTCAAGGGCTGGGTGGGTGGCTCAGACATAAGGCTAGTGCCCAGCATGCAGGAGGCCTGAGCTCCATCCCCAGCACCATGGCAGGAGAGGGGAGATACACACACCACTCCATATGCACATACACACATGCATATATACACACGTACATGCACATGCAAATACGTATCACAATATCATCTTGGACATGTACAACTTTTATTTGTCAATTATACCTCAGTAAAACTGAGAATGAGATGGATTTCTTCATCTTAAGCACAATCTTGTGTGTGCATGTGCACATTGATGTTTGTGACCAATGTTAAGTAATATGCCAAAGATCTGTGGCCTTGATTTTCCTAAATCCAGCTTATTACTAGTCTTGAAACCCATACATTGAAATATTTAGCAAGGTATTTGTGTTTAGTATTGTATCTATAGATAATTAGAAATAAAATGTTTACTAATGACGTTTTTGCATTCTTGCTAGTTTTTCTATAATAGGCCAGCCTGCTTGTGAAATTACATGTCAGCAATTATAAACATTTCAATCTGAAAATACGTCATATAAAAATTATATCTACCACACTTTTTTTTATTGAAATGATAATTCTAAAGTTAGAGACATGATAAAGAAAAGTAACCACCGTCAAGCTATTATAACTGTACAGAGAAAATAGTTCAGAATTTTATAGCTATTTCCAAAATAAGTTCAATTTCTTAGATTTATTTTTATGGAAAACAATTGGGTAATGTGTATCAAATACAAGTCCATTTTCAAATATGATTGCATTTACTCTAATTCCTTCTAATTGCTTTATGCAAATAGATTAAGGGAAGATACCAGTATGTTATCCCTAGGCCTTAATAAATTTAAATAAGCCAACTATCTAGACCTCACGTACCAATCTGGACTGGAAGAGTACCACATGGCCTTTTAGTAGGATTTCTTTGCCGCCTGCTTACCGGGCGCTCAGTTACCTAGCAGAAGCAGAAGAGCCTAATGACAGGTGGGGCCCTCCGGGGTGTGTGCAGGAGGCTCAGGTGCCCAGCTGGGGGATTTCGCTCTCGCTGGGATGTCTTGGTCATGTAGGCATCCTTCAGTGTTCAGGCAGGTTGAACACGGTGGCTCTTGGCTGAAAGTGTTGAGACCCTTGCCTCTATGACATCCATCGGGCTTTCAGAGGGACGTGGTGGCAAGCCGGCAGAGGTCCTCTTCAGATGGGGCACCTTAGGTTCGGGACATTTTGCAGAGATGCTCCTGCGTGACAGCCACCTGAGCCAGGCCTTGTCTCTGCTTCCGTCCCTGCAGCRGAGGGAGCCTGCGGCGGGACGCTGAGGGGCACCAGCAGCTCCATCTCCAGCCCCCACTTCCCCTCCGAGTACGGCAACAACGCCGACTGCACCTGGACCATCCTGGCCGAGCCGGGGGACACCATCGCGCTGGTCTTCACCGACTTCCAGCTGGAGGAGGGCTACGACTTCCTGGAGATCAGCGGCACCGAGGCGCCGTCYGTCTGGTAAGTGCCGACGGCTTCCGCCCTGGGCACGGGCGCTGGCTGGTCAACGTCGCTGTCCGATCGCTAAAAAGTCCCCTTTACTGTGACTCGTTTGAAAGTGAGATCTTGGGTGGCGATTTCGAGGTAGGCGGCTGCGTGGGCACTGAACTTGCCATCTGCCTTCCCAGATGGCCAGCGGAGGGCACCGTGGTGGGCAGGGGTTTGGTCTGGAAGATGGTGTGAGCCCTTTTCCAGACCGTGGAGTTTCTTGCCTATGGTGAGGAAGCAGTGGCCAACTCTGCTCGGACACCTCATCAACTGGGCAGTTTCTTCCACGAAGGTGGGCGTCCGTCGGGGTACCACCTCCCAGGAGGCACCTGTGGCCACAGGGCGTCACAGGCAGGCCACGTTAGCAGAGATGCTAACCCACCGACGTGTAAAACCTACCCGCCTCCTCCAGCTCTGGCGAGGGTGGCCATGAGGCGAAAGGGAACCGGCTGACCAGAGCTGTCCACTGCAGGGCCGACCCATTGCTGTGAGCGAAAGGTGATTTTGTTTGCTTCAGTTATTACGTTTAACGTCAACTTAAAACTACTTTGGTCATCTACTTCAGATCATGAACTGTGAGCRACCTAGGGATATTTGTATTGAAACCACAGATGGACACAGGGTTGGCCTTTYGTGTGGGGGTAGATGAGAAGGTGGGGTGAGGGACTGCAAACATCTCTATGGATTTGCCTTTCCTTTGGGCGCAGAGATTCAAGGATACAGACGTCACATATGGAACACTGTACATAAGACAGTCCATTTTTAAACCAGTTATTGGAATTGAGTTGGGTCTTTCTCAATTTTCCAAAACTAAAGACCAAATTAGAGCGTTTGTATTCATGGATAAATCCTTTCCTTCATTAAGATTATTGTGGTTATGTTAAATGTTTTGCCAATTAGAGAAAAAAATGAAAATACAGTCTCTCTGACACTCAAGTATTTGTTGAGATTGCCATCATTTTGCAATGTTCAACGTCAGTTGGTAGAAACAAATACTGACCTGGGAGCCTGGGCTGCCTAGAGTCCATCCTGTTGTCTGCCGTGGACAATCCTGGGCCCTTGGACAAGAGAGAGGCTATGTTAAAACTTATCTTTCTAAAMCTCACTAATGAAATGTCTCCTGAGTGCCTCCTCTCTGCTGGTTGTTGTGAGAGTCAGGTGACCCATTACTTTGTGTTTTCAAATAATTACTGAAGTRGAAAATATAGGGTGACTAATTCTCAGAAATTGTACGATTAAGTGTGTGAGATTTCTAGAGAGATCAGGTGTTGRCTGACGGCCTCACTGCATGATTTGCAGAGAGGTAGAAGAAAGTGAGAATCCAGCGATGGCTTGCCAAGGAAGGGATCCCCAGGAAGCAGACGTCCTTCTCAGTGTCTGAGATGAAAATGGGCTGCCCAAGCCTGCGGCCAATGGCTGTGAAACAGGACCCTGCGAAGGTCCTGCACCGCTGGTTCACACAGGAGAATTTACTTCTGAGTCAGCAAAGCTCCCTGCTGGGTGTACTCTTGCTCAGATGGAAATCAGGAGTCTGAGGAGGTGGTTGGACTTCCTTTGCCCTCTTCCACCCAGTGGAGTCTCCTCCCCTCCCGCCCTCTCTTCCCTGCTTGCTATGTCTCTACCTTCTCCTGATGTGCCTCCCTGATCAACTGTGTGGTAGATCCAGGAAAGGAGGTGGTCTGAGTGGCTAGAATCTTGTTCTCCCTGCAGTGTCAGGAGATCCTGTGACCTGTGAGCCAAGAGCAGGGACGGCCATCACTATGGTGGACAGAGTGTGGTGTGGCTGGCCTTGGGGATGGCTGCTGTCTTCTTGTGCCTGCTTTCTGGCTGGAGAACGTTTTCCAGCTTTCTGGAATTGGCCTAGGTCCTTTCCAGGGAAGTTGGTGGGAAGGTCCTCAGTGGGGACTCTGACCGTGCGYGCTCCCTGGTCTGATACGTTCTGCGCTGGTCGGCCTCACGAGTTCCCTTTGAGTGGCAAACCCATGTTCCTCCGTGCATTCCTGTGATGATCCTCCTTCTCCTGTTGCTGGTGGTGGAAGCCTGCAGGGCTGTCTTCAGTGTTATGGACGCTTACTGCTTCCTACTGTTATCACGGGAGAAATACTGAAATGCCAGAGGGCCGGAGATGGCAAGCTCTGGTGTGTGGCAGGACCGCGACTGAGCTCAGGCACCTGGCTTCAGCCTCCATGGCGCAATCGCCTTCTGTACAGTCGAGGTCTGGTGTGTGACCCTGTCAGCGAAGCACCTTTGCTCAGGGGCAGGTTGGTCMCAAAAGCCTTGGACAGGTCACCGCCACAGGAGTGACTGGACAATCGGGGGACAGTTGAGTTCCCTGAGTACCTCTGCAGGGAGCCAATGAGACAAGCTGGGGTCTGTCTGTGTGTYTTGTTTGTCCATTTGATTTACTGGTGGGTGACGTTTAGTGCTTGTCACTAAGTCTTTACCTTGCTTTAAATAGGACTGCTCTAAGTGGGACGCTCATCTTTCAATTACTTTGCAATGGAGGCTAAAAAGGAAAAGATGGTTCTCCTACACAACCAACCATCAAGACCTACAGGAGCACATTTAGACTGAAAAATGGCGTCATTTAAAGCACCTTTTCAAGTCTTTTCAAATGCATATAATATGGCTTATCTTAAAAAAAGCTATTATTTTACCATAATTGCAGTAATAGTCTCTGAAGTATTTAATGGTTCAAATTGGCATATTTAAAAGACATGCCCATCCTGGGATTGCAAGAAAAGTATGAAGAAGCACTTTGGGTGGATGTGACCCTTTCTCAACAAGGTCACCTTGCACAGAGGCAAGGGTGGTGTTAATGGCTGAGTGGAGTGAGTGCATACACACATGYAATTTTCCAATAATCTATGTTTAAAAGACAGAATATACAACAAGGACTCTAAGAAGACGCTGCTTGGAGAATTGTTAAGAATAGTAATAGGATTAGCTTTATTTCCATTAAATGTGAAGTGAAATTACCAATTCAGCTATGTTTTGTCAGGTTGCCATGGCTACAGTAGAGCAGTCTAAATGCAGTGGATGATGTCATGTGCCAAAGTCATCTGTATATTCAGTGTGGAGTGGGTTAGTGATTGAAACCTAATCACCTATGTGTGTGTCGATGAGACTTGTTTTTTTTTTTTTTAATCATCAGATTTTAATTCAATACAGATTGGCTTTCTGTCAATAGTTTAACAAAGGGCTGCTATTTCTAATTCAGTTTGTTACAGGGTCTAGTAATTATGGGTTTTTCCTGCAAAGCTATCCAAGCACTCTTTTAGTTTGCTGCTGKTTTTTTTTTCCTTAAGTAAATTGATGGTGTAGCCTATAGCTGGTAACTCTAGAAATATCAAGAAGAATGAAAATCGATTTTATTTCTGAGTTAGCCTACTATGGCTTCTAAATTAAGACATGATGGTTTAAGGGATTAGTGCTGTATTGTCTTGGCAGGAAACAAGTGAGGGAACATTTAYTCTCTTTAAAATATGCATTTTGGAACAAGAATTCATTAGTCCACCCCCTCTGTGTCAGGATTGTGTGCAAGGTGCATAGGAAGGGAAAAGAGGAATAGTAAATGCATTAACATGGGTTCTGAAACACACTTGATGGCATCAGCCTCAGGTCATGGAGACGGAGTTCAATAGCCTGAGCCTTCTCCCCAGCAGCCTCTCCCTYGGGGCTCCCCTGCATCCCCCCACTTCAACAGGCCCTGGTGTCCTGTCAGGCCTTGTCCCTGTGTCCCCATTCAGCAGGGCCCAGCAGCCCCTCCCTCAGGTCTCCTCACCCTGTGTCCTCTTTCAACCTGACCTCGGGCTCCACTTCTGTGTCCACACAGCACCTGCTTGTGCCCCTGTGCTGCTCCTGTTCAGCTGTTTGCCACGGCTCCCAGAGTTGACTGAATTAGCTCAGCTTGGAGGGTCCCTGGGTGGAAGAACCCTGGGTGCAGACAGGAGGAAAAAGGAGGCTGTGGAATCCCCCTTCCTGCAGAGCCTCTGTTTCTTGAGGAATCTGGAAAACCTTCCTTGCTACTCGGGAGGAAGCCTTTTCCGCTGAGGTTTTTGGAGACTGACGTTTTCTTGCGCTGGTCAGTGCGACTCCYCTCTTTGCCTTGCTGGATTGGGCACAGTCGTACTCAGAAAAGGCTTGTATCTGCACTGTATTTTTTCCCAYTAACCCAGCAGTTTCCCAGTCTAATTGGTGACTGGCTGAGGCCAAAACCTAGCTTTAGAGGAGTTTTAGAAATTGAGTGACCTTCAAGAAGGGTTAGTCYCCACCTCCGATGTTGCTACAAAGCACCCCAGATTGGCAGTGGGTGTGGTGTCTATTTCATTTCCATGACGAAGGTTATGGAAGTGCACAGTGAGGAGCAGACTCCTTTAAATCCATCCTTCCACTTGGCGGCACCAAGCCCAGCAGACTTCCAGCTGCTTACTCTGAATTTCTTAATGGAAGCTTGTTGGATCTTGCACGGGAAGGGACGAGGCCAGCCCTCCRCTCCCCCTGCTGTAGCGTGGTGTTCACAGCACAGTGTGATAACCAGCCACCTGCTGAACTTGCAGAAGGAGCTGCCCTGTGAGGTCCCCTTTCTGTCCAGAGCCCTGGGGTCCATCTGGAGACCTACAGGCATCTATTTCTCCCTTGCCTCTCCTGACCTGTCTTTGTTTTCAGTGTTGTTTTGTCCTCTGAACTTGACCCACCTCATGTCAACCATTCAATCTTGCTATGTCCTTTTGAAAAGAAAAAATGAGTGACATCATTCAGGAAAATGGAGGAGACCATATAGCAGCATCCTAATACCATCTACTGAAAGCACTAGGTTTGGTTTATATTTTCACTTGTGGATTTGAATTCAGTGATGTCACTCCACAAACTTACTGCTAAGTATGTTCTGCAGCAGTTTTTATGGAAGCAACAGAACACAAACAAACAAACGTTATATAGATGCACACAAGTGTGTAAGCTTCTCCTCTTCT